GAGAGAGAGAGAGAGAGAGAGAGAGAGAGAGAGAGAGAGAGAGAGAGAGAGAGAGGAGAGAGATAAAGAGAGAGAGAGAGACTCGCGTCGGGAGGAGGAGACAAGGAAGCGTGAAAACTTGGGGCTGGAAGTCAGGTAGCCGCGTTCAGTGCTGAAAGCACCAACATACGGCGAAAGTTGCAAGGGCGGTGGCGCGAAACGACGGTCAGCAGAAACGACGTGAAATCGAAGTTTCGCCGTTAAAAGCGACGAGTCACAGAGGCAAGTGTCGCGTTACCATCCGACCGAACCTCTCGATCGGATACCTCTCGTACAGAGAGCGAAAAGTCGGCGCAAATCGCCATCAAGGTCGCGTACGTGATGCATCGACGGGAGAGACGAGTATTCTGAAAGTGGAGATCGCTTCATGCATGTGTGATCAGGTGAGCTCGGGCATTCAGATAAAGCCGGTGTATCTCGCCATAGTCGATATATCGGTGTATCTCGGGTTAATGAACCCGGACCTATTCGACTAGCGATAATGGGCTAGTGTTCTCGTCTAGCTAAAGAAAGGCGCGTGATAGAGCGATAGATCGAGCGAGCGAGCGAGCGAGAAAGAGGGATAGAAAGAGGAAGAGAGAGCAAAGAGGGAAAACGAATACGTGGTCATTGGGTCATGCAACACTGTGCCGATATTTCTGGCGCGAGTGCCTTCAATTAGAGTCGAAGTCGTTGAAACCCTCAGGGTCGCCCCGAGTCGCTCATTCGCGTTTCTCTCGAACGTCGTGGTCGCCGTCTAAGTCGAATTTTTCTTACTTTTAGCTGAACAACTTGTTAACTTCGTGTTCGTGTTCTACGGTATCCGTTATAAAACTTTTACCCCGTTCGTACTTATTTCCCGGCTTTAAATTGGAATCGGTCTGGAACGTAAAAACGCCTCGGCGACGATCGAATCTCCGGAGAACCGTGAACGAGAAATTTGAGAACACAACCGACAAAGCGCATTTCGACCTAGAAAAAGGCAGGGAGAAAAAGAAAGAGAGAGAGAGAGAGGGAGAAAGAAAGATAGGATGGGGAAAGAGACGGAGGGGTAAGAGAGAGCCAGAGAATGAGAGAGCGGGAGGGAGAGAAAAAGAAACGAGGAGCTCAAATATACGGATCGAAAGACACTCGATATGGAGGGAATAGCCAGAATATCAGAATGAATCCCCAAATGACCCGAGGGCACACACAAGCAGATGCGTGGGCGCTGAAGCACGTCTCTCCCCTTGCATCCTCGCGCAAACCACCCAGCGCGGCAGCCCCCTCCTTCCTCCTGCCGATTTACGTGCTAATCTGAAATCGATAAGTCCTCCGGCACGTCCCGAGACTTTGGGGACGTACGTTTCGACGAGAATTATTCAGTGCGCGGAGTTATTAATGTCCTGCTCAATTACAGGCGAGTTTTCAGCGACCGGGGGAAATCAATTAAGCGCACGCCGGCGGGGGTGGACGGCGGTCCCTCGTCGCGTATCGTTAACCCTCCGCCGACGTCGCCAGGGGATTCCGTGCGGCCTCCCCTTCTTTCTCGTCTTCTACATTCGTAAGAAAAAGAGAAAGGTAAAAGGCAAGAAGAGGAAAAAGGGGAAAAAACGTCCGCGTACACGTGTCATTACATTGAAGAAAAAGCAATCGACAAAATATTGACGGTTACTCGCTTTTGGATAAATATTTATAACT